ACTACATGAGAAGTACTTTTAAGCACCAATTCTTCAACATACTTCAAAAGACATGAAGAAGATGGCGGGTAAGTGTGGTTTCGGCCACAATGAAAAAGAAAAGAAAACTAGTAAAAACAACTAGCCGAAAACTCATGTGAAAGCCTTCATTTTATACTTTCATGCAAGACATACATTTAGATTAAAATGAAATAAGGTATTGGTAGCCTTTTATAATCATGGGGAACATATGAAGAAGGTTGACAAGCAACCTCTCTTCTTACATAATAATTTCGGCCATGCTTAAGAAGAAGACAAAAATTGTCTAACTAGTTTATTAACCATGGTATGTTAACTTATTAACTTGATCATGGTTAACCACAGTGTCCAAAACTTTGTACATGACTTATTTTATCATACCATATGATAGAATAACTAGTTATACTATCTTTTAATTATTATTTTCACAAAACGATAATTATTCCCTAATTAAATACAAAAAAATTGATATTATTTATTAATAATCTTATTAATAACAAATATACAAAATGTGCCAACTTGATAAAGGTGTGAACCAATAGGATCATATGTTATTATCAATATCATTCAATAATGATTATTGGGCATATAGATTGATCAACAAAAACCAACCCACCATTCATCTCTCACCATCTCTTTTTATTCCTTTCTTTCTTTCTTTCTTTCTCTCACTCACTCTCTCTCTCTCTCTCTCTCTCTCTCTCTCTTTCTCTCTCTCCCTCCCTCCCTCCCTCCTCATTTTCCTTTCTTTTCCTTTAACGTTTCTCCTTCTTATATCCAAAACACATATCACCACCAATGGTGATCGCCTTCCATCTGCGAGAAAGATCCAATCGTCTCTTTCCAATGTCGTTGCTCTCCCATCCTCGATTCTACTTCCCTTTATTTGGAATTGTGTATCCTACTAAAAAACATCAAGTGCCCCCGGTGGTAAAAACCTACCCATCTGCCACAAAGATCCATTCATCTATCGAGATCTCTACTTTTTTCTCTCTGACACTCTAGCTTTGACCACTGAAGCCGCCCCTATTTTTCCAGTCTCTCTTCACTTCTCCAATCGAGAAACACATTGATTTGTTGATGAGAAAACACAACTGGTGATCCCCTTCTCCTTGATCCCTTCCTTTTATGTTCCACCAAAGGAATACAATACTCTTGCAACCACCGAACTTCAATCCTACATCGCTTTCTCTTTTCGACCACCATTGTGCGATTACAGGCACACCCTTTTCATGCCCTTCTTATCAAGGTTTGGCATTTGGGTTTCAAAAATCACGTTTCTCAAGGTTTTGAATTTATTTCCTTTAGATTTTTTTTTGATATCGAGGCCTGATTTTGTTTAGACGATCTTTTTTCTTTTATTTAGGATACATGAGGTGATATGATAGATAGATAGATAGATAGATAGATAGATAGATAGATAGATAGATAGATAGATAGATAGATAGATAGATAGATAGATAGATAGATAGATAGATAGATAGACAGACAGATAGATAGATAGATAGATAGATAGATATATATGATGGGTTTTGAGCACTACATCAATCCTATGGTGTACATGCAAACCCTAAATCTTTGGATCTAGTTTGTCTAATATACATGCAATAATCATCCAAAGCTCATAAACCCTAGATCTAGCATATGATGAACGGTATTAACATAAGAATAGGGTTTAGATCTTACCTTGATTTTTATGTAGCAATAACAATCTCAATTCCTTTTGATGTTGACCTTTGAAAGCTTAGTGCCTCAAATGTTGCACCTCTAATGGAGTCACAAACACCATGAACAACAAGATGACCTAGGAGAAGGAGGAGAAGCACCAAAAACATCCAAGAACCCTTAGGGATTACTTCACCACGTTTTTGGGGCCTTAGGGGTTCCTTATATAGGTAGGCGCGCTATTAGGGTTTTCAACTAGGAAACCCTAATTTGACTGCTTAGGCCCTAAGCAGCCCATGGACTCCCTCCTTAGAAGCCTTGGACGAATTCTAATGGGTTTCCCCATAGATTTCTCCAATCCAACTTCTATGGAGTCCACTAGCCCAATATTCAAAAATCACACAATTGATAGTTCTAGTCCTCTTTATTTAATCAATGTCTTTTAGCCACATAATTAATTCTTATTAGTTCTTGACTAATATTAATTAAACAATATGATTTCTCTCTTAATATATTATTCATATAATATATTAATAAATCATAATTAATCCTTTTTCTCCTTAGTCCATCCTATCAGTTGCTATGGTGAAGGCAATCCAAAAGGACCATGCTCACAATCGGGTCAAGTACATACCAAAATAGTTATGGGCTTAGACACCTAATCCAACAGTCTCCCACTTGGATAAGTCTAATAACTATATTGCGTATGACTTCGGAACCTGATCAGCAATCGTAGCTTTCAAAAGCCGTTGTGGAACTCTGATCATATCAGGAACGTGTCCTTTAGATAAGGGATCATATATTCCTCCATTCTAGATATCGTATAGACATGAGACATGGATTATAATCATTCTCTCAGTCTATGTGTTGTTTCCCGACTTCCAATTTATGACGACTGACAACAGACTACAATTGAACACATCAACTCAGTCCCGGCTTGGCCAAGCGCTTAGGAGTGTCATCACTAAATCATCGAGGCGCCCACAGATATCGCTTTTATCCCACTTTGGGTAAAAGGAACAGATAAACTTGGACTCAATTCTCGCTTGTACCTACTCATCAAATCACACACAATAATATGTTTTATAACACCAAGTGACTGGTGCGTTAACATATTATCAATGTGCAACCAACTTGTAGAATACAACTCATATGTCTCGGTTTCAAGAATATAAGATATTATCGTCTCACCAATCACTCGTGATAAAATCCATGAAGCGATCCAAGTGAGTGTGGGTTTAATCCAATGCTCAAATCATATTCATAAGCACTCATGAACGTTGCAACAAACTTTTACTATGTCTAATACACTTTAGACAATCTACAAACCAATTCATGACAATCTTCTTTCATACCTACTCCCAAAGTATGAGCGACTGTGGAACGTTTGAATAATCTTATTATTCAGAAGTCAAAACATGCAAAGTGAAACACAAGAATAATTGAATCCAATATGGCCCCAAACTTTTGAGTATAAATAAAACTCATTTTATTTAGTCACCATATTGATTACACATTATTCACTGTATAATGTTTCAGATAATCAACTTATTACTTGAATTATAACAACAGTTGTCCCATGCTCCAAGCATGCACACTATGTTTACCTATGGTCCTTACTTTGTGAAACATATCAACTGAACACATTTCCAATGATACTCATTTCACAATTCCTAATCCTTATCATTAGTGTAAGAATACAAGATTCTTGTCACTATTAGAATATGTTAGATTCGAAAAGTTTATGCAATGATCCTTTTGTAATCTTATTGCACAAAAGTCACCAAGACTTCGCCAATGAAATTACAAAGTTCTCTATTGGGGATTGTTACAAGACAATTTCATAGATGTGAAGTCTCACATTCAAAGCACATTCCTTTGAACATCCTTCTTGCATAAAAGTTTCTAATCTAGACATGGATTCTCAATATCTAACTCCCAATATGGAAACATTTCCATATTTTCCATATGACAACTCATTGTGAATAGAGTCTTATCTATTCATAATAATGTCGATATGGTCCATTCATTACTATACTTCCAACTGCTCACAAGTGACCAATCCTTAGCGAACCTTAGATTGTCCTTGACAGTTCCGGCTCTAGTCCTTTTTCCTTCTTAATGCCCTAGGCATTTGGAAAATTTTAGAACAGTCAAATATTACAGCATATGCAATCGAACCTATACTCGAAGCGTATGGGACACGATTCATAATGAAAAACGTGATACTTTACCAGTTTCTTGCTATAATATTGCCATATATAGAATCCTTTTAAGTTGAATCTTTTCAACATAACATCCATATATGTCCTTTGACTAAATTTGATTAAAATTTCTCGATCCAAACTTTTAGATTTTGAAACGAAGTATAATATTCTCTCCCTTAATTATAGCAAAACAACTTTTCAACCCCTGCAACTTTGCAAAGTGAACCTTTTGTTTTCTATAATTAACATTGCTAACTTGCAACACTTAAAATAATAATCATGCTCCCACTAACATGATGATTATATCCATACGAGCATAACATTTATGCTCCCACTAGCTTTGACATGTATTCAGAAAACCAATGGACTACTTCTACAAGGCAATACTTATTGACTTCCAAAGTTCATATTTCTAATACGATATGCTTCGACAAGCCTTTATCTAAGCTTCTCATACACCTTTCCTTAGACAACTCACATGTGTGTCTAAACCACTACTAGAAAAACAGCATTTTACGACGTGCAATGTGTGTCGTAAAACGCTCAGACGACGCGCAAATGTGTGTCAAGGAAGGCCCTGTCATAACGAGAGACGACACGCTTTTGCGCGTCGTCTATAGACGACGTGCAGTTACGACACACAATTTACGACGCGCATTTACGACACGCAATGCGTATCAAGGAAGGCCCTGTCATAAAGGAAGACGACACGCATTGGCATGTCGTCACCTTACGACGCGCATTTACGACTCGCATTGCGTATCATTAAAGCCCCTGTCAAGAAAGGTCATGTCATAAATGAAGATGACACACATTTTTGCGTATCGTAATTTTATATGTTTAAAAAAAATATTATTTATAGATCTACTAATTTTCTAATTAAATTTGCATTTAATGTCTCGTAATAAATAAAATATCATATACAAAAATACAATCCATTGCATAAAATTTAATGTCATACAAATAATCGTTCAATGGAAAGATAAAACAAATCAATAAAAATTGTAACGGAAATTTACAAACTAATTAGTTACAAGAAATATGAAAAACTTGAAATCCCTAAGATTAATAGTTCTAACAGAAGCTTCACGTGAGATACATACAGTTGGACTAGAAAGCAAGGATGTTCCCAAATCCACAATAGCAGCAAGAGAACACGTACACGATATCTTCTGCAAGAAGGTGCCGGTCCAAAACTACTGTTGAAGGTTGCCATGATAGCTGTTAAGATTTAAGCATAACAAGAAACCAATCAGTGACTATAATAAGCTAGAAAACAAGCAACTAATAAACAAAATAAGCAACTAATTAAGTAAAACTATGACTATGTATTGTTCATACAAGAAAAAGAAGGAAAAAAATGTTGATTTATTGTTGTTCATACAACACTCTCCAGACAACACTTAATTGAAGAAAAGAATAAGGCTAAACTTACAAGAAAAATAAGGAAAAAATAGTTTTGAGTGTAAATTTCAAGATAAAGTCACCTGCACCCCAGTATAAATTTCAACAAACAACTTTTGAATGACAAAGATCAGGTACCTCTTGATTAGCACGTGCATGGTCTCACATTGGAAATAATAACAAATTCACTGCTCCACCCATAAAGACCAACAACTTGAACATTTTTCAGTTGCAACTCTACCCCCTGAAAATAATGTAATAAAATGACTATTAATTTATGTCGGATAAGAATAAAGTTGAAGTTCACCCCATTTAATGAAAGAATATGCATACAAACTGGCAGTAAACAAGTAAATAAATGAAGAAAGTAGAAGTATATGTGAGCATGGACATGGATGGTGCTTGCAAGTTCAGGGTGGCCTTGTCTTGTCCAGATATCTGTTCAACTTCATCTATCAATCATCATATGAATATGAAGAAAAAAAAATGTATGAAATTCACTCATTGAGTTTAAAGAGGAAAGTAAGATATGTTACCCCAAATCTCAAAGGTTTTATTGTAAAGGGTGACAAGCCCAGTGAAAAGCCTGACAGCATAATCAACAATCTCCTCTGTTTCATATTCTGCAAATGCACCTTTTGGTTTATCAGTTTCTTTATCTCGAAGAATGTGCAAATCAACTACACGACTAGCTTGAATAAGTATATCGTATAAAACCCTATCGCTTACTCGCTCATCCAAATTACCTGTATAAAAAATAAAAATAAAAACATCAGTTATAACTAAATAATGACATAATTAGGGAGCTTTAACCGACCAACAATCATATTTCAACCAAAAGTATAAAGAGTTATAGACAAAAGGGAACCAGATCATGTCATAGAACAAGAATTCAGGAAGAAGACAAGTTTGAAAGCATACAGAATAACGTTTAGCCAAGCAAGTGTGATCTACCTGTAAACTTGAAAACGCAAAACTATGATTCTCAATCATACATTTCAGAATTTTATATGCTCCGAAGATTTTTAACAAACTGAATTTCCAGTCCAAAAATCAATCAACCAAAATTAATTGTAATACAAACAATTACGCTAATAATCCCGATTGTTGGGACTGGTATTTAGAATCCCACACAAAATGCAATCAAATGACTCGACTAATGGTCGAAATGTAGCAACTGTATTAAGGTAGATTTGAAAGTTACCAATATAAACAGTGCTTTTTGTTATCTAATCAAGCTTATTCTTTACCACCTCCACACTCAATCTCCAGCTCTGCCTTTTTCATAGCAGGTGCTAGCTTATTCTTTACCACCTCCACACATATACCAAGACCAGTAACCTGAAAATAGATAAATTTCCTTTTATTATTATCATTATCATTATAATAAAACAATTATTATTATTTTAAACCTTTTCCTGAGTCTTGAGCAATCCTTTTCTAGCAATTCTCAATGTCTATCCCTACCAACTATGCACAATTAATCAATTTCCTTTGGATGTAATAAGAAAAGAAAGAAAATGAACTAAACTTTGCTAGACCACCAACTTCCTGTGTACAGACTCCATTCCATTTGTCTTGATGGCTTACCTGCAACCACTTTGTTCTCCATTAAGAAGGCTTAAAACTTGAATTTCCAAGTAACAAGGATTTAAATATAACAAAAACAATCAATTAACATGAAATATAAAGTTGTTTTGTGTACTAAATGGCTAAATGCATCATGTTTTGCTACCACTTGTAGGGTTAATAATTCAGTTCATAACAATCCACAAAAGACAGTGTTTACTTTTTGTTTGTTTTTTTTTACTTTAACTTAGCCCACAATTTCAAATAAGAAAGCTGCATGAGTTTGATACATGAAAAAACTTGTAAACTAAACCACTCATTGCATACCTTATTTGCATTTTCCCTTAAAGAGGCTTGAGGAGACTCGGAGCATTTTACCACAGCATCTATATTTTCAGTAAAGTAAGAGGTGACAATGGAAAAAGGTTCATCATTTTTCTTCCTCAATATCGCCTCAAGCACACATATGGCTTTCACATAGACCTAAAAGAACAATGAAGCAAGATATGACTTGTTTTTAGATCTTGACCCCAAGATCCATATGCATTTGTTGATGACCTAGAAGAAAGTGCAGTTTGACTAGAAAGTTCTTTGCTATCACAGTAACTCGCTTCATTAGTCAATGATCTTCTCAGATTAGGGCCCCTGTAAGTTCCTGTGTCATTTTTATTATGAGTTTGAGCTTGTGATAAGCTATTTAACCCTTGCTTGATTGTTGCACTTCCAATGCCAACCATATCACTAAGAAACGACTTCTTATCATCAGATGGAATGTCAAAGTTTGTGTTTCCAAAACCTTGTATACGTTGTGTAAGACCTTCTTGTGGTGGTGGTGGTTTACTGTTGTCTTCTCCAGCAAATATAGCTGATAAAGCTTCTTGAGCATTTTCTCTTACAGACTTATTAAGGGCATCACCCTTCAATGGATCCGGTTGTCCAATGTAGTGAATTAGCTGACGAACAGCTACCGAGTTCCTTTGCATTTCCCTCCTAAATTCCACACCAGACTTCCCCACAGCATACTTAATCACTCTTAAAACCTACATATACAAATCATCAAATCGCATGTTGTTAGAGATTACCCTTTGTTGGACTATCAAAGTCCCAATAACTGCCCTTTGTTGGGACATTGGACACTTGAGCAGTCTGGACAGTTAGAGGGGCAACAGGAGGTGTGAGGTGAACAATATGTCGGACTATCAAAGTCCCAATAACTACCCTCAGAATCGTAAATCATAATAACAAGTAACAGACCTTGTAGGAGGCAATGCAGAGGTCTGGCCAGATGGCCTAGCATGATAAGCACCATCCATTGTGATATAAGTTGAACAATATGTTGCCCCTAAAGCTCCTGCAGCACCTAAAGCCCCAGCAGCACCAGCCAAAACAGGTAGCCTACAACAAAATTTCACAATTTTATCCATTTACTCACCTAACTATTATTATCTTAAATATTTATTTATTTATATACATTTAAAGTACCATGTCATTTCTGAATTCCCCATTCCATTGGGCTGAGTAACATAGCCAGGGAATGCCATAAATTTAGGGGCACCAGAAATTGCTGATTAGACACCATAAAAATTTAACATTTTTTAATGACCAAATAGCCCTTGGGTTTACCTGGCAAAAACGTTGGAGCACCAGGGAAATTATGATCACATGGATCCCAATGACCACCATCTTATCATTAAACCATGCTCAGAGAAAGCTATCAACCCCTGCCATATATTTTTTTTTAAAAAAAATAATTGAAAAACTTCTAGTGTTTCTGTTTCATCATGTATTAAAATAGCATGAACGGTTGTACCTCTCCATCAGGTGAAAAGCTCAAAACAGAAATTGCAGTATTTGCACTAAACAATGGGTTGGCTTCTATAGGAAAGCATCCTTCTCAAGCAACTTCAATACATCGTTCTGGTTGTTGAGTTTTGCCACATCAATAGGTGTTTTCCCATCCATGTTTTGCAGAGTACTATATATCATAATAATAATAATAATAAATCAAAATCAAAATAAAAATAAAAAAGATTTAAAAATAATTGCTTATATAAAAACTAAACTTACACGGCTGCACCGTTATCCAGCAAGAGGGATACACATTCTTTCCTGCCATAACCAGCTGCATAATGGAGGGCTGTGTTATTGTTTTTGTCTAATGCATCCACTTTAGCTCCAGCTTCCACCAGAATTTGTGCACATTTCACCTACAAATTTACATATTTGCCCATCACCTCATATTAAATTGGCTTGTTTTTTATATATAAAACCATTATGTGTTGAAAAATACCTCCCCGTATCCACAGGCAAAATGTAAGGTCTTTTATGAGATTAAACCTTATTTAACTTTGAAAAATCCACCCAATTATGCTAGTCAAAATTGTTTTGTGCTATAGAAAGAAATGAAATTAGTATATGCTAACATAATAAAATAAATAAATAAAAGTACGTTGTTATTTCTTGAATTTAACCTTGTTGTAAACTTTTGGCTCATCTAATCATGTATTATGCTCACAATTCATAAAGAACAAATGAAACCAAACAAAAAACTAAAATACCTGATAAGCCTCCATTTTCCCTGTGCGAACTACTCCATGAAACACAACATATTGCATATCAGTCAAAGTGCAGAATATATCAAACAAAAGCTTTGGTCGATCCCTACACCTCATAGTAATAACCGTGTAATCCTTCTCAGCACAATCCAACACATTAACCTGTGCCCTCCATCTATTCTCCTTTTCTTCCTGTTCTACCCTTCCAACATTCTCATAATCCCTCTCAGCAAACATAATCTGATGCAATCGTCTCTCCCTATGCGTAAACCCCGGGGTCAAAAGCGTCATTTTACCAGTCTTCAAGTCATTGTTCCCCTTAAGAACATTACACAGCAGTTTCTTAATAGTTGAGAGTCTTTTAGGATCTTCAACTGCATTTCTTGTTTTCTCATCTGTGACATGTACAACAGCTGCAGCTCTTGCATTATGAGTGCATATTTCAGCATTGACTACATTACATCCAAGATTTGTGAGAACTGCAGATACTTCTGATAATAGTCCAGGTTTGTCTATTCCAGCTAGTTCTATTATTGTGTAATCTTCAGAAGGCTTTAATCCAACTGAACCAGTTAATGAAGAGAAATAAAAAGCATCACTTTCAAGCACCTATAATGAAAGAAACATTTCATAGTGAGCTTTTATTCCAAGGTCGGCGATTTGCATCCTTGCAACATTAACATTTCTTTTATTTCTTTTTCCTATGTATAAAAATCAATTGTCTGTATATAGAGTTCTCGATTCCAATATGATAAATCCATTATGATCTGTTTAATCAATTTTAACATTCAGTTTTATCCATTTTAATCAAATGACAAATGGAATCAGCAATCACTTTTAACAGTAAACTTTTCACTTCATTCCAATCTGACTAGTTTGATTCAAAACTTAAAACCCTTATTGATTAATCAAATGAACCAACTTAAAAAACTTATTCAGTAATCAAATGAAATCAACAACTTATGAAAAGATTGAAAAACATGTAATTGGCTAATTATCACATTATGAACCAGATGAATCTGAATACTTATTAATCAGGTGAATCAGAAAACTTATTTATCAGATGAATTAGCAATATTACCAATATGTCCTTAAAAAAAGATGAATAAAAAACTTATTAATCAGATGAAACTAATGTAATCAACAATATAATCAAACATTTAAGATGCTTTGTTCTTGACCCCTAATGACTAATCAGACGAAATCAGTAATAACTAAAGTAGTGCCCACCGGAAAAGTAGCGCCGAACGGCGACCTGCAATGAAGGAGCAGTGACCAGAGATGGAAGAGCGGATTCTTGATAGCCGATTAGGAAGAAGGTCGTTTCATCATATAACGTTTTTAATTAACAAAAGGGTATAATTAGAAAATCAAAACTTGAATTCTTTTGGGGTTAAAATGTTTACTAGACATGTGAAGCAGAAAAGAACGGAAGATGAAGTTTTACCTTCTCGGGTGCTATTTCTTTATTTGATTCCTTTGGGTGTAGAAAGAACTTGACCCAACATCGAAATACCTTTCTCTTTAATAATTTCTTTGAAGATGACTATTGTTTAGGGCTATAGCAGCATCATCGTCCCTACTACCACTCTGTAATAAACAAAGTGCCTTTGAAGGCCCTTCATCATCTTGCACTGCCCTTACTTCCTCCAGTGACAATTTCGAACGTCGAAGGGGAGAGGAAATGAGTCGCCAAAGAGAACCCCTAAATCGCATATCTTTATAGTTGTACGCGAGTGATGGGCCTATGTACACGTGAAGGCACTGGTGAGGGATGGAGGAGGTGGCGGGTCAGAAATTAGGGCTTCTTGGAGAGACGTTTTGAATCACATCCTAGAAGTCGTCTACACATTCGGAATTATGTTTCACCCCATTAAGTCGTTGTCTTCTTCTTTGATCACGAAAGCAAGAGCAATTCTGCTACGAAGACGAAAGCCCTGGGGCTTTTTCTTGCTAATTGGAAGAGGCGGGGGGTTTAATTTTTGGGATCCAATAGGCGGGTGAAATCCCGCCTTAAAAATGCTTGTTTCATTAAAAATTATAAAGCGACACATTTAGATGACACACATTTTATGAAAGGTGCGCTCCACATTTCTTTTTTTTTTCTTTTCTGACACTAATTTTAGGGCACGCACAAATGCGTGTCCTCTATCCTTGCAAAACTGACATTATTTTTTAGGGCACGCACACATGCGCGTCCTCTATCAGCGCGTGTCATTGTTTGTACGTCATTAAAGGGCTGTTTTCTAGTAGTGAACAATTCTAGAACTTACAGCAAAAAGTCTCGAATGTTCAAACTAATTGCCAAATCTCACAATTCGAACTATGATGAGGGATGTCGTAATCATAATCGAATTTGAGAATGCAATTTACACAATCGCTATCTCCTTAAAATCTCTCTTAGTGAAAGTGTTTCCTCACAATCATTTTCATGAAGGAGAGAAACCTTATGACACTTAGAATTTATGGTGTATGTGTTCCTGTCCATTTGAATTTGTAATAACCATAATCATAAGATAATGTTTGTGACAAATCCAAACTCTTATGGACAGAACTTGTTCATTCTTAATTTCTTGCCATCAAGGGTCCCACCATTGCTTCCAAGATATTTAGCATCTCACCCCTACCTATCAATGTACTTTCCATTGATCAGGGTGCTTGCCCTTATGCAGTCAATTGAGAAATCGTAGAACTCATATGCATAAGTAACTTTACTGGAATGGCACAGAAATAAGAATATGTCAACACGATAGGTTACAAACCTCAAGTCGTGTACTAGTGTTTAATAAGTTTACTCTCGATTAGTTCTTGAACTTTTTCAAGATCATTTAGACTCCCACTGACCTCTTGACATATAAGATTCTCTTGTCAAGAAACATTTATTGACAAACAAATATTCAAGAGTAAGTGCGGATTCTTATCAAGACAAACCACTACACACAATTGGTCTTAGTTGGTCTTTGTCTTATCCAAGACATCACAACCTACCAATTTCAAACGTACAAGAGTAAGAAAAACAATTTTCTACTCTACATTTGATGAGTGTGTTAAAACTTCTTAAGATATGTCACTCAAGTCACAATCTTGGAGTATGACTCTAAGACTTGATTTTGGAACGAAGTATGACTCACCTATTAATTTAACCTTTTCAACAATTTCCGATTCCTCTTCTTAGCCATACTAATGCACTAAGATTTACTTAGAGGATCAATTGTGATATGGTTCTTAATCATTAAGATGATCATAAAACACGATACAAAAGTACTCTCCCATCTTTTCAGATTAGAGAAATTTTTATCGTTCTGCCTTATTGATTGTTCTTATTCGTTCTGCCATTCATTGAAACTCTTTCAACAACTTAGAATTACACTTAATCTTATAAGTATAACCATATTTACTAAGCTTTAGTAAATCATGACAAATAATTTATCGGTCTTTGTGGTGGACTTGACCAGTGCACAACATTGTGTACCAGCTCTCCTAGTCCTTCACTTGACTCTTTGTCAAGGAATTAGTCTCAATTTTCCAAATATGAAGGTTCTCATTCATCATACAATACAAGTTGTATGATTCCAAGTTTCTGTCCAATTGAAACTCGGGCGACAAGAATCTTTCCTTATTTGGTAAATTCTCGACATTTCCACAAATAACATAACTAAGAATCACATCCATTTCAACATTGCTAAAAATAAAAATACACAAACATCAATTTTCATACATGCCATTACAAGGAATTATAAATAAAGACAAAAACCAAAATTTATTTTATTTATAAAGGTGCGGAAAACTTGTCCTTACAATGCAATTTAAATGAAAACTATGTTATTACATAATCCTAAGAAATCTATCATAACTCTCTAAGTAGCAGCTCCAAAAATCCGATCATCGAATCATGCGATGGAAATCCATTTGTTCGCGATCAGACTCAACTCACTTCGTCCTTTAAGCTTCCTTTATTTTCTTTGATCCTACAAAACACCAAATGTAATCTTATCACATCATTATTTAGAATCTAAAATAGAAAACTTAATAGAGTTAGATAGTGGATTTTTACCTGAAGCAGAGTCATACATCTTGACTCTCCCATCTCTTAGATCTCTCAGGTAGTCAGGGCAGCTTCGTAACCAATGCCCCCTCTTTTGGCAGTAGAAACATATGGATTCTTCTGGAATGGTACACGGGACTATCTTAGACTCAGCCTTTCTCTTGCGTAGAGAAAACTTTTCTGGACTTCCAATGTTGCCATTGCCCATAGAAGGTTGGGACATTGATTTACCAGACAAATTTGCTTGACCAGTGCGCCAAATCATTGCTGATTCAGTAGCAATAAGCAAATAAGTCAAATCAATGAGGGTCACGTCGTGTTCCATCATATAGTACTCTCTAACGAACTTACCATATGAATCGGGAAGTGAGTGAAGAACCAAGTCAACACCCAACTTCTCCGAGACATCGACGCCCAACATTCCCAATCTATCAATATGCAACTTCATATCCAAGACATGAGCGCATACCGACTTTCCATTTTCGTGTCTTTTCTCCAATAGGGCTTGAGTGACCTTGAACTTTTCAAGTCTTCGAACACGTGGGTCAGGGAAAATTATCGGAGGAGGTGGAGGAAGTGAAGCATGATTTTCATTTCCACAATCCAATCGTGGAACATCATCTTCATGTGGAAAACTTTTTCCAAAGGATTCAGGAAGACCATAGTTGTCAGACTTTGACATCTACAAAACGGGAGAAATTAAAGTTAGTTGATTGGAATCCTTGATATAACACCCAAATGAAATATCAAGGCTAGGACCCAACACAATATTCTATAATTTGGAAGAGGGATGTCGTAATCCAAATTGCAGAACATTTGAAGGTAGGTAAATGATGATTTACCAATTTCCACCATGAAAAACGAAAAGGAAATTTAAGTTTTAAATGAATTGAAACTCCTAGATCCTTTGAGATTCATTGAACTTTTCAATGGAATGTTTAAATCTTGAGTGTGCCCTTCGTTTGTAACTGGGATGCCGAGGATCACAAACAAGTTGTGGATAACCATGCAAATATACATGATGCCACCAATGTTACAGTCACCTAATCGACGTGCCGGTTAACCACACACGCTCCATCGATCTATGACAAACATCGATTCACCCTTTGCCACCTTTGCTTAGACCCAATTAGTGTGCCGGTTAACCACACACGCTCCACTAACGTCTTAGCAAGGGTAGAAAGTGTAATTTCATGGAATAGCACCAACTCCACATTTTTCCTAAAGTAACTAAGATTTGGGATTTTATAAAAGTGTTTAGTTACTTCGTATTCCTTATACTTATAATGGAAGGTTTGATGTACCAATGAATCGAGTATTGAATTAATCAGAGTATGAATTCAAGTATGAATGTAAGATTGAACACCAGATGTAAATATGATCTTGTTTCAGCTTGATTTACGCTTTCGAATGTTTACAGAGAAAATAGACAGGTTTGTAAAAACTCTTTTCTAACTCTAGTAAATAACCCCTATTTATAGGGAACCGAAAGCGTACAAAAAATATACTAAGGCATTGACTCTAAAGCTTCGAATAAAAGCGCCATAGTAAAATACATTACAAAACATTCGAAGAGTACAAAATATACTTCGACTAATTACAACAATTCGACCCTTACAATCTCCCCCTTTGTAATCATAGTCGAAGTCTTCAATTCGTAAGAAATGTGATGGAATACAGTAACACTCTTCGAATCTCCGTGTACCAGGAGATAATCTTCTTCAGCTCTTTCTTGTCTCCTTCATTGTTCTTCTTGCAATGATTCATACGAACAATCAAGTTCGTATATTGAGATGTTGAATATCTCTCTACTTCACTTGCTTGGAAAAAAAACCGTTTTGCTTTTCCATCTTTGTCTTTTCCTGCGAAGACCATTCCAAAAGGCTTCAGACAAATTTCACCATCAGCATATTTCTTCAATTCCGCCTGAGTCTTCGTAGGAGCCATCGGTGCTTTTATTTCCATTCCTTTGGCAGTAGCTAATTCCACATCTGTTAGTGCCAATCACTCATAATAGTTTTCGATAAAAATCTTGATGTGAGTAACTCCAAGCTTGAATTCATCTGGTTCAGTGTTTTGAAGGAATGAAAATGATTTGTCTTTTAGAAGTAATGCAACTTGTATAAGATCATACAAGTTCATCAATGGAAAATCAGCAACAGTGAATTCGCAAATATTTCCATTTGCCCTGGCAACCACATACTTAACATTTTGGACTGTGTTTTCGAAAATCACATCCTTTTTCATACTTATGACCTTCTTGATTTTTAATAAAGACCAAACTTCCTCAGGGGCTTTTCCAAGAACAACATGAAAACGAATTTTCATGTGTGTACCTTCATCCTTATTTTTAAAATCCCCTTCTGCTTTGAACCGAGGCATGATAAACATCATTTCGTTTATGGGAAAATCCAGTTGGCTTGCATCAGTATTCGTGACCATATAACTCTGCTTTGGTTTCTTCTCGAATGTATACATGTGATTAAAAGCAACCTTAGCCTCAATTGTTTCGTAATTATAGTGTTTAGCTGGATCACCTTTATCCATTCCCTTCGGATCACTAGCACACTGAGTCATAATGCTTTGAATAATCCTCAGTTTTTCAAGTTCAGCTTCTGCTTCAGCCTTCTTTTCCTCTTTCGACTTTTCCACTACAATTGATTTCCCTTTA